CGCGCGCACGCAGATCCCGCGTGTCGATGTGGGTACGGTTATTAGCCCAGAAAGCAAGGCCCCTGCTTCCGGTGTAGGCACTTCAGTTCGAGAGTTTCTTAACCCCTCCTTATACACGACTCGGCCTGGCCTGGCCTAAGACTCTGCCCCGGCTTGGCCTGCTGTCGGTTGCGGGTGGTAGGTAGCTAGAGTACCGTAGAGGTACGCGAGCAAAGCTATAGCTTATACAGGGTGTTCCGCGACGAACCTTCAGACTCCTCCCGGTGCCATGGAGTCGATTTTTTTTCTCGAGAAAGATGGAGAAATTATCTCGAGGTTACTGTAAAAGCGATCGAGTTGATCGAGAATAATAGATGTGAATTAATCTGTCTGAAAAAACTGTTAACTTGACTAACTCTTTCAATTAAATCTTATTTTGTTAATTGAACGTATAAAAATATATTTAACTTAAATACTAATATATATTTCATTAATAAAATAGTAATTTAGTTGAAAGGTTTAATGATAATGAAAGAGAAAATAAAGATATCAATTAAAATTTCTATTCGCTCGTGTATTGTATAAAACAACAAATGTATTCAAAAAAGGCCAACTTATCGAGCCATATTTAAGATGTATCTAATTAAAATTTATTCCATATATATATATTGTTTATTGTCTGAGATATATATGGAATAAATTTTAATTGGATACATCTTAAATATTGCTCGATAAGTTGGCCTTTTTTGAATACATTTGTTGTTTTGTGATATATAGAGACGTGCAATCGAGTTTTCGGGGATATCTCAAGGTTCGTCACGAGAAAAAATCATAGATATTTCTCGAGTATACATTACAAACACCCTGTAGGTAGAGATATACAGAGATAAATATATATCCGGTATGCACACACCGGGGTGGATTATTTATCAAACGGCGATTTTTTCCCGCGACGCGGTGGACCCGCGACCTGTCTCACCAGGAGATCTCGTAGATTTCGAGAGACACCGAGAACGATGCGCACGATTTCGATGCACGCGATCTCGATTATCCCTACAGTAGCGATTCGCGATTGCATTAATTTATAGACTATATATAGAGAGACAGCTTTATATCGCTGGATAATTGATAAAAAATTTAGAGAAGAAATATTTTTATTTTAAAAATTAGTATGCTTTAACAAGACCAGCCGAACAGCTGTCATCTGTCATCACCTGTCAGATTTAAAACTTTTGAAATAAAAATTAGGATCAAATTCAATTGGATATATATATATATATATATATATATATATATATATATATATATAATATACTGAAATTAATTTTCTTTTTATTAATTTAAAAAAATAGTATGCCTTAACAAGATCGGCCGAACAGCTGACAGCTGTCATCTGTCATCATCTGTCAGATTTAAAACTTTCGAAATAAAAATTAATTTATTAAATTCGATTCGATATATATAATATACTGAAATTAATGATTGAGAAAAAGAGAGAGAAAGGGACGAACGTAATTTGTAGACAGAACGAATTTTGCGGTATTCCTCAGAGTCGCGAAGTCGTTCGTACAAAGTCTCGAGACGTTCGCGGTCTTTCGAAAGTGATGACCCCGCGAGCGGTAAAGGTGCGTGCAGCTGCTTCCTCCTCGGAAAGCATTTTATATACGTATGGAACAACACTAATGCGATGGAGATTAGCTTACCTGCTAGTTCCCATGAACTATTTTTGAGCTTAATCGTTGCGCTGATCTGCTGTTATACGCCGTACGGAGGCGCTGCGTTGTAACAGATAATTACTTGCGTGCTGGCGGGGGATAGACGTTCCTGGATCGCTGCTAATGAGCCTCTCTGGAATATTATCGATGCGCGCGTACGGTAGCGTGCTTATAACCGCTCTTCTTTTCCCGGGGACGAGGAATTTTTTTACAACGCGCTCTCGTCGGAAAATCCTTTGTTCCTCTAGGCTGCAACTAATAAATATACACGCATGTTACGTCCATTTCATGTTTCGCCTCCAGCTATACCTCTTCTCCGTGAAAAGAGAGAAATTTTTCTCGATTTTAAGGCTCCCGGATCCTCTTGCTGCAACACATGCTGAAAATTTTTAGATGCCATTTTTCAAATGAAAAGATATTTCGATGAGACACTATTTCAAATGACTTTGGCACACTCTTAAAATATGTCAAAAATTATCCTTTTCCCTTTATAATGAATTTATATTCATTAAAATTTATTATTATTATTAATTATATTCATTTAAAAATGGCATCTATAAGAATTGTTAGCATGTGTTTTTTCTTTTCTAACGTCACAATTCCAATTTGGTCGGCGAGGAGTCAGGAGCCTTAAATAATAGTAAAAACAATTGTACGTTTGAAAAAAATACAATTTCGTCGAAAGATCGCTCTCTCCCGTCAAACCGTTCGTCTTTCGCTGGCGCGTATCGCGTCTGGGTCACAGGTGAGAGATTAAAGAATCCGCACCCGACTTCTCTCTCTCCAGTTGAGAGCTCACGTGGAAATGGGATCGTATGCTTGCACGCAACCGTTGTAATGATCGTCATCGATTCAAGATGCGTCGATGTAACTCGCGAGTCGACCGATGGCGAGTTTATTTTATTCTTTCCCACGTGACACGAAGGATTTACGCGTTGACGGATGGAATTATTTTAATTATATATCTATATATTAGAATTCAAAAAAATAGACTCACATTAAATTTAAATATACAATGCGACACGAGTAATATATCTCTTGGCATGAAATTCGCGCGATTCGAATCGCGGTCTCGCTAAAATCGCATATACATATAGCAAAAACTATTGCAACGTCGGAAGTGGCAATGCCCGGCAAGAGAGCGTACGGTTCTCAAAGGGTTAATTGGGCATAGTAACTCTTCAGGTGACCAAGCTCCATGGGAGTGTGACGAAAAGAACCCGGTTTCGTGCGCGGAATTAAGTATACAGTACCCACGTCTCTATTTATAACACCTTATAGACGAAACGCGTCTTCTCGCTCATCTTGTCGAAGGGAAATAGGGAATGTCCTTGCGGCATCGACGTTCGTTACACCCTGCTAAATATGTTGTTATCGCACGTCCGTTCCCATATCTTTCTCTCTCTCTACATATTACATATTATACATATTATATCGTCTCATTAACGCGATAACATTCCTGAGAAAATTAAAAGGAATCTTATTTAATATTTATATATTAAGGTAAGATATATAGATTATTTAGAAAGGGCACAGTTGAAAAATTTGCGTTAAATTTAACAGATATCTCTCACAAGTCCCAAACGGTCCACAGAAATTGTTGTGTTAATTTAACATAGATATGTTAAATGGAGACACAAATATTGTGTTAATATTTTAACACAAAATAAATGCAAAACTTCAAGTAATTTAAAATATTTGTGTAAAATTAATATAGTTTTAATGTAAAAATATGTTAATTTTAGATTTTATCATCCCTACTTATAAAATTAAAAATTAACATTTTTTCTGTAAATTTAAACAGATAAATCTTGTCATTAATAAAACAGAACACATTTATTGTGTAAAATTCAAAATAGATGCACATTGTGTTATGTCTACATCTTTTTTTTAGTTATTTTAATAATTTAACATTTAAGTTTAATTAACACAACAGCAATATGTTAAATTAACATATGAATGTGTTAAATATTTAACACAAAAATTTTAACGGGGACTTTTTTTAACAAGAAAACAAATTTTCCTACTGTGTACATATTTTTATTTAAAGATATATAAGGTACTTTTTGAAATCATATTAAATGCAGATTTCGATTCGTATATAATATATTGTGCGTGCGATCTCATATGTATATACGGTCGTTTAAAATCGATGACGTTATACTGGGAACTCGAACGTTCATTATGCTCTGTCTCCAATCACGTGTGACAAATTATTCGCGCGTCACTTCCTTTGGTGCACTGACGAGATTTCCACGGGGTATGACCTGAGAGACAGACAGTCTGACAGCCATGCCCAATTTTCTATAATACATGCATAATGTATGCACATTGCAAATCGAAAGAGTACCGAAAGAGTAACGAAATAAAATTAATTTTTTTTAATTAATTCAAATTATTTTGTCGAAGCGAAGAGATTTCGAGAATTTTAAATAAATAAAAAAATTAAGAGTTTTTTTGTAGTATAAAAATTGATTTTTTAATTAAATTTTATCTTGCACTAAAAATGCAATACTGCCTTATAATTTATTTATTTAAAATAAATAAATATTTATCTGTTTTGAAAAGGATTTTCTTAATATATTAAATAAATATGTTTTATACTAAGTTAATATTATTAGTTTCAAATATAGTCCTCAGTTATCGGAAAATTAAAAGATTGCGAATAAATTACACGGTCTCTTGCAGACTTTTCGTACAAGAGAAGCGTTCTCACGATATCGACTGACAGAACGTGACGTAACAAATTTTAATGAGATACTTATTTAGATCGCATGCATATTTTATCAAATTTTCGATATTCCATCCAAAACTCCCGATTCATGACATGTTTCGAAACGTCATAAAACCATATCTCTGCCTAAATTTCATTAAACAAGAAAGAGGAAAAGCGCTGCGAATGAGCCTGAAAAGAATCTCTCAGCGAAAGATGGAGCAAATACGGATAAAAATCAGTCTCGATATTAAAAAATGGCGAACAACGTCGCGCGACGTTCTCTGACAGTAACATCGTGCGGTTCAGGTCAAGTCTCTCTTTTTCTCTCTCTCTCTCACTCGGAATAGGATATATTAAAAGAAAAAAAAGTATCATCCTTGCGTGTCGGAGCCGCGGCTGAGGTCGAGGAGCCACACGACGCCACAGCACACACGAGGCGGTCGTGCATAAGTCAGCACTCGCAGGATATTTCGTCATTTCCTGCTTCTCACGCGATACAATCTAAATTAACTATGTTCGCTTGGCTAGGCCTCCTCCCTCGCACGGAGAAGTCTCTCTCGCATCTCTCAAGAAAATTTCTTATTTCCTAGCGAGGAGGGCCGCGTCGCCGCCGTCGCTGACGTGCACGAGGTGTACACCAAGGGGGACGACGAGAAGGCTGAAGACCCGGGGAAGACTTTCGCAACGTTCCCGTTTTGCGCCGTCAGGTGAGTGAGTTGCCGCTAATTCTCGCATTTTCTCCGCGGCTCGGGAAATCGGCCCTTTTTTCATGTCCTCCCCAAACCGGAAGAGAGATTGCGCGTTCACCTGTTCGCGGAAAGAATTATTTCGATCTAAATTCTAGGCTGAACAAAAATTTATTAACTTGACTAAATTTTTCAATTATAAATTTTATATATATATATATATATATATTTAATTATATAAAAATATTTAAAAATGAAAAATAATATATTATTGAACCTTACAAAACGTATATACATATTTGACTTAAATACTATTATAATATACGTTCAATTATAAGAAAATAATATTTAGTCAAACGATATATGAAAAAGAGAAGAAGCGAGGAACGAGTCTAGAAATGATCTCTATATGCGAAAGATGGAGAAAATACCGCTAAAAATCTCTCTCGATGTTGGAAAAAAGAAAAATTAGGGCGTTTCGCTGCAACGTAAACAGTCAGTCTCGTGAAAGAAAAGTCGAAGCTAGGCGATTTACGTTTCACACACCGGCCAACTCGACTGTGACTTTTGCGAATTCCCGGAGGATTCTAATTTGTACGCCTATCCTCGGGAGGAGAGGCCGTTTTACGGCTCGAACGAAGCAGCCGTGCGGAGGAAGTAGGGCGTAAAGTGCCTTGAACTTTGAACCGCACGTTTTTTTTTCTTTTTAAATGACGCGAATAGGGAACTCTCTGCGAATGGGAAACGCGATAATCTTCGTGTCAGCACCTTATAATTAGTATTAATATTCTTTTAGATCGTCATCAACATTAATCTTAAACATCAAAGTAAAAATGAAAAAAGATATCCTTGGGTCGCATCGGCAACATTTATCTTCAAAGTTAGAGAGAAAGAGAGAGAGAGCAAATATAGCATTTTTAGAATTATTTTTATTTATAATTTATTTTATTTTTTTTTATTTATAATTATTTTCTTATTGCTACTTTCGATGTCGTGATCAAAATTTTCCCACGCTATAATTGGTCATAAATTATTGTGTAGAGATTTCAGTCTTATTCTAATTTTATGTGTTTCGGAAATTAGGGGTACCGAATTTCTTAACCTTTCAAAAAAAAACTTATTATCCCAGAAATATTCATTAAAGTAAAATAAGTTCGTCGTTTAAAGGTTTTTAATTAATTCGAGATTACGATGAGAGGTCACGCGCGCGCGTCCGACACGTGGCTTAAAATTTGGACGAACGTCTGACCAGTGATGGAGCGCATCACTTGCCGCGGATGGTTCCTCGATATTCTCCTCTCTTCCTTTCCTCGCATAAATTCCGTAGGTATATGCGCGGGAAAGGCTCGCATTAAACGACACGCGCGATGATTACGATCGGACGGTATGCTTTTTCAGCAATTTTGTAATTACGTTCGAGCGATTAAGTCGCATTTTTTTCTCCTCGGAATCCTCGAGGTGGTAGCAACTTCAAAGAACGCGCGAAGGGAACGAGCGAAAGAAAGGAGATGATATCGGCCACATGGGTGTGTGAAGCGCGGAAATGTTGTGCGGGGAACACGCGTTCCTAATGCGAAAAAGAGAGGGAAAGACATAGATAGAGAGAGAGAGAGAAAGAGATACAACTGACCATGGTGCGAATACACGCGTTCGTAGAAAAAGGGGGATATACGGGTGTTTTGCATAGGACGAGCGTGACGATGAACCTTTTGTCTCTTGCTCTCGAGTAACGCGACAACTGATCAACGATTAGCACATCGATGATTGACTCTAATCACGGGAGTCTGCAGGATTTTTTCCAGGAGGGGGCATTATTTTATTTCTTTAATTCAATTTTATTTTTTTTTCGTTATTTTTATTTTATTTATATTAAATATGCAAAGTGTTTATTCAAAAGGAGAGCAAATTCTTAATTTTATACTGATTTTTAAGGGGGGGAGTGCCCTCTTTTGCCCCCTGTTCCCTGCAGATACCCATGACTCTAATATAATTGACTTTTTTATTTTTTTCATATTAAATAGGTATGCAAAAAAAAATTCCGGTGTTTATTCAAAAGGAAAGCAAATTAATATTTTTACTGATTTCAAGGGGGGCAAATGCCCCTTCCCGCCCCCTACTTTTTTATAAACGCCCATGACTCTAACATAATTGACTTTTTCATTTTTTGATATTAAATATGCAAATAAATTGTAGTGTTTACTCAAAAGGAGAGCAAATCCTGAACATTTTGACTGATTCCAAGGGGGCAAATGTTGCCCCCCGCCCTCCTAGACTCCCATGACTGCAATATAATTTCTTTGTATTACACGTGCAGACAAAGTGGCACTTTGTGTGCGTGTTTTCTGTGCGGAAAGCGGCCGATTTCCCACGCCGTCATCTAGCGGCGACGCGGTGAGTGAATAAGCCGCATTCAAAGCCATTGCCTACGGCTGAGCCGCGTTCAAAGTCATTGCCCACGGCTTCAGCCGTGGGCAATGACTTTGAACACGGCTATTCCCGCACCGTGCCGCCGCAAGATGGCGGCGTGCGATCAGCCACCTCGCGCACAAAAAACGCGCACAAAGCCACTTTGCCTGCACTTGTAATACAAAATATCGTGTGTATCAAGTGCGGATTGACAATTGTTCACTCGTGTGGGGTGGTTCATCCCCCGCACTCGTGACCAATTGTCAACTTTCCGCACTTGATACACAATATACCATTCTTTTTCCCGCAAATCTTCGCCAACGTTATCCAATCGACAGGTACACCTATCTTTCTCCCATCGTTTTCCCACATCTCGCGAGTCTCGAAGTTAGCGCGAAACGGGGCCGACCAACGTCGCGTGACGTGTCACACGATATATGCACGCGTGCACACGCGCGTATCTATATATGTATACACGCGCGATCGGGTCTCCCCGCGGTGGTGTTTCTAACAAATTAACGGGCGATATCTCTCGTCGTTTCACCCTTCTTCCTTTGCCTTCTGGCTCCACCTCCGGCCCGGCTCGTGAGAGGAACATCCAGCGAGAGAACGCGCTCGCGTCGGGAGAGAGAGAGATCATTTTTGCCACGTATTTGCAAACTGAATAATAAATAGCACGGATGTATGTACGCGAAAGAGCGACGCGTTCCGCCTTCACGCAACTCGCGCTTCGCGCGGATTGGTCGCACCGGCTGCGAGGGACGGCACGATATTCATTCCGTCGTCTCTCCTCCGCTCCGTGGACCTACTTTGTACACGCACACGCGCGTACTCTCCCCGGGTTGCACGTGCAAGATCAATTCCCGTGGAGGGGAATGCACGTATGCACGCGCGTTCCGTTGTGTGCGCCCGTGCATCTTTCTCTTTCTCTCTCTCTCTCTCTCTCTTTCTTCATCTCTCGCGAAGCGAAGAGAAGCGGCGAGAACGGGTCCGTCTTCCCTTGCTTTGGTCCGCTTCTCTATGTGTCTCTCTTTCTCTCATTTTTCGATTTCCTCTTGAAAAATGAAGAATTTCTTCTCCCTTACTATCGTGGGCATCGCAACATTTTTTCCAGGAGGGGGCATAATTAAATTTTTTGTTCTTTCTTAGTTTTTTTGTTATTTGAATTTTTTTATATTAAATATGCAAATAAATTGCAGGGTTTATTCCACGGGAGAAGAAATTCTTCATTTTTTGCTGATTCCAAAAAGGGGGCAAATGCACCCCTGCAGACGTCTATGACTCTAATATAATTGATTGTTTTATTTTTTTTTTTTATATTAATTATGCAAATCAATTCCAGTGTTTATTCAAAGGGAGAGCAAATTTTTTTTTTTTTACTGATTTCAAGGGGCAAATGCTCACTCTCTTCTGCGGACGCTCATGCTTTTATAGATTGCATAGATGCATTTTTTGGTGAATCTTTGCCTCTCTTTTTTTTTTACATAATTATGTATTACGTGACTTTATATAATTTATTTTTATTAGAACACATTACAGTTTTATTTTATAAGTAATTTTTGCATCCGACAAAAATTTCTCGTTTTCTTTTCCCACCACTTTTATGTCACTTTGATATTTAGCCCTATATAATAGTTTTATATCGAATACTTTATTTTTCTTCATACGTTGCATCTTGTTTTACTTAAAAAGTTCTTTTAAAAAATATCTCTTCTTTCCTTTACGTCCATTTCTTCCTTCGATTCTTGACGGACCAAAAGTATATAACTATATATACCTACCCGCATAACCACAAACGAATACACATTCATTCTCCAACAAATGCTTTGCTCAATGGGTTATTCTGTCCTCGTTGCATTTTCGGCTTCCTTAAATTTAAACCTGTCATTTAGCAAGAAACGAGAAAGATGCATGGCTGGCGAAAAATGCTTCGGGAAAATTTAGAGATTTTCAAAACCGAGATTATCAATAATAGATTATCAATAATCAATGATCGATCAGTAATAATACACAATAATAATAGAAACAATATATTTTGCGATAATATGAAAACATATGTTATTATTTATAGAAATTTTTCGAGAGATCCACAACTCGAGATAAAAATATATGAAATATCAGATTGAGAGAAGGAAGGAGATTAATTGCGAGAATATCAAATTTAAAGGATATTAAATTTGACTTGCGGCAGAATAAATTAAATAATTCTTTTATGGACACGCGTGCGAAGAAAACACTTGGCGTTGAAAAGGTAATATCACCATTGAGGGGATTAATAATAATAAGAAGCAAGAGACGGAATATCAATGATAATATACGTTCCCGTCACGGCTGTAAAGAGAAAAAGAGAGAGAGACTTCATTTCGTTTTAGGGATTGTTCGAATAGCATAAATATTTATGCGCGTACGCAAGCATTACGCGCTTGCCAGCGCATTAACGAGCACAATGCACCTATATCGTTTCATATACATACCAACTGCTCAGGTGAGTGACGACCGCCCGAGCGTGTGATGTTTTTCTCAGTTTACTTTACGGTTCTTTCCCGGGGGATGTCGCTCTCTTCCGTACGTCATCAACTTCTCCGTGTTGCGTTTCTATTTTTCTAGACATCTTT